GGGAGGTCGTCTGCGCGCTCGACGTGCCCGTGTACATCCACCCGGCCGCCCCGGCCGACGTCGTTCTCGAGAAGCTCTATGCGCAGCGAAAGTACCTCATCGGCCCGCCCCTGTCCTTCGCCAACGGCGTGAACCTCCACCTCATGGGCCTCATCTCCAACGGCGTCTTCGACCGCTTCCCGAAGCTGCAGGTCATCGTCGGCCACTTGGGCGAGCACCTCCCCATCGACCTGTGGCGCATCAACCACTGGTTCGAAGATGTCAAGAAGCCGATTGCCGCGGCGGAGGGCAACGCGGACCGCATGTGCAAGAGGACCGTGTACGACTACTTTAGGGAGAACATCTACGTCACCACGTCGGGCAACTTTTCCACGCGCGCGTTGAAGTATGTGGTGGACGAGATCGGGGCCGACCGCGTGCTGTTTTCGGTGGATTACCCGTACGAGACGATCGAGATGTGCTCGGCTTGGTGGGATGGCCAGGCCGAGGAGGTGAAGGAGGCGGTGGGTGGCGTTGAGAATTATCGCAAGATTGGGCGTGATAATGCGAAGAAGCTGCTCAAGCTGGGCGAGTTCCATGACTCTGAGGCGCCTGTGTCTTGAGAGGGAATTCTGTTTGTGTCATAGTAGTAGCTTGAATAGCCCACACTGAATATTTGGTTTATCCCACTCCGAGAACTCAGCTTTCCCGTTGAGTTCCATGTCAGTCACCATGGATGGCCGCTGAGGCGAGGATTATCAACCGTCGCCAGCGGTTTCCATTCGAATGTTCCAGTTAACTTGGAATTAGGACTCTCGTGCCTCATTAAGACCCATGACATGGGAGGGCTCACAGGTTAATTATTCTGGGCCTGAATTCTATCAGTCAAAAGAGAACCGTCATTTTACGTAGTAATGTCGTACACTATAGGATACAGGAGCTGGATGATGAGGGTGGCTTATCGGAATAGATTAATGCCCTTGTCATTGATGATCGCTGCATTTATTGAAAGATTCCCCAGTTGGTCAGATCTATCCCCTGAATATTGAACCAGCTTTCATTGAGCAAATCAGAGCCTGTGAAATCCCCAAAGTCCTGCGCCAGGGTCGTCTGGTTCAAATTAGGCACAGAGCCAAACGGGAGCAAGACGTCCTGCTCGCTCCCTTGCTCAAGTCGCGCATCGTATGTTTCTGCTATGCAAGAGCGCCAAAAGAATGGTTAGCTTCTCTCCTGTTCAGTCTACCAATTTCTATTCATGAACAAGGAAAAGACAACCCCCTTTCTTGCTCTCTATGTGTATTCTTCTCTTACCGTTGGTGGCGGGGGCCCCGCTGGGAGCGTCTCGCTGCGAAGCGACAGCCATGACAGATGCGCGAAGCTTTTCCAAGACTTCAATGCCTCGGCTAGAGGACTCGACATGCTGCTTGTGAAAATCGAAGATGCGCAAAGCTTTGTCCCACGAGGATTTTGTCGGCTCTGTTTCGAAGCTGACATGGAGATCGGGGCACAGGGTCGCAACTACCAGAGTGGAAGCTGCGGCAAAGGTGACTGTGATGATAGAGTAAACAAAGAGTTAGCTAGAGTCGCGCAACCTGAACCAGAAGTTTAAAGGGCAAGAGACAAGAAGCAGGCAGGCAGAAGGATACGAAGAGGAAAATCTTGCGTACAAAGTAGAACATGCCAGGCCGAGCTCTGCCTGACGCTACCAAGCTTCTCGTAAAGATCCTGTAATACACTGTGAGCCGTCGAAACGCAGAGCGAGTTCGCCGAGTGTCCTAGACTGTCTCGAAGTGTATGCGAGGCGTCCGTTGCGAATGGTTTCTGGGGTCGGCTGCCGTGCTTAGCTTCGGCCAAGAGGAGCGGACGTAGGAGGAGAAGCCGAATCCATAAGACTCTTATTTGCACAGCTGTAAGTAAGACTCTCTACACAAGAAGAATAAACAGACAGACTGGTGAGAGAGCCATCTTACCTGGACTTGAGGATGTTTGCCTGCATCTGCAGACACCCCCGTAGCTCTTCGTCTAGCCGTGTCAATTCCGCGCCTTCTCTGAGGTAGAGCGGAATTGAGTGGCCCAATTCGTCGAGCTTTGACGAGAGCTGTAGGACATGGCTGAATGAATCGGGTGTCTTGTCCGAAACAGTTTCGCCTTCGGTGTAAAATTTTGCTAGTATATCATTTAACACATCAAACAGCGCAACGGAGTGTACAAAGAAGGCCAGGTACGAAGGTCGATCCGACGGTTGTAGGCCTTCGGAACTCTCGGACAAATACTCATCGTCGATGGGCTCCGGTGGAGGGACGGAGTACTGCCGAGACACAAGGACAGGTCTCCCAAAGGTGGTTGCCGTGAGTCTTGGAAGCGTTGACGTTAGTTGGGTGGCAATCATCTGGATCCGAGCAAGCGAAGGCAGCGACACGGGTGCCACGGGTGCTGGCGGGAAATCTTCTGCCTACCTGTCTAATGTTAAGCAACAGTGCCAGACACGCCGCCTCATCTCCCTCTTGAGCTGACTTTCTGAGGACGCTGGCCCATCACCGCGGGAGTGCAACCCGAGACCCTGCGCAACTCGCAGTGCGACACCCACTGTGTTCCAACATCGGTCTGCGTACTGCGTGTAGTGTAGGTAAACGCCCCTCAGCAGCAATAGCTGGACGAGTTGTAGAGAGGAGTGATCGAGCGTATCGACTGACACAAGCTTGCAAGATTGCTTATAGAACCTATTGGCTAGGCGGACTTGCTCCATTACCGAGACCTGATCTGTCCGCTGACACCCGAGAGCCAGCACGATGCTCAAGGTGGCATGGAAAACGATGTCCTTGTAGTCTCGGCTAGGAGGTCGGCCTTTAGATGGCTGCCACACTGCTTCGTACGATGCAGTAAACGACGGCCGGTGGAGTATGGGGAACACCGGGTGGACAAAATCCCAAAAGCAGCGGAAGAGATTATCGGCGAGCCACCTCTCGGGAAGCATTACAGGGTCCGGTAGGATATCAGGACTCTTTGGCTGCGTTGTTATCGCAAACCCAAGCACTGTAGGGGTGGCTTCCTCCGCGTCGAGGCAAGCCCACTCCTCTGGGCTCTTTGTGTTTGAGCTTCTGGGGCCCGCAGCTTCTGTCACCAGTCGTAGGAATGAGCTGTTGGATGAAGGACCGTACATGGCATCGCCATCTGCTTCGTTGCGAGACAATGGTGAAGCAGATTGAACAGCGTTCGTCGCTAAGGGTTGAGCGGGCGGCTGGGGAGTGATGGTGCCAATAGTAGTGGTTGATCCGTCGGTAGTCAGGGAAAAGACATTATGAGCTCCTCCCAAAATATCTGTTTCTGGACCAGGATCGGGATGCGGCAGTCCGCCACGAGCTTGAGCTGCGGGTAGCTCTTCCAAACGCTCCAGCCTCTTTGACAGTTGGGAAATTGATCTGCCAAAATTTATCAGCAGATTTCGCTTGCCAGCAAGGTAATGTCCATTTTGGACTAGGGATGAAGGACCAGAAAACCCACGGCACGTACGGTGTCGATGACGCATGCAAGACGGATTCTTGATATGTGCACCGTTGCTGCCAACCTTTGAATGTACAAGAAGAACACACCGGGCGCGCTCCATCGCATCCAGACTTACGAGCGCGGCATGGGTTGCAGGCAAGCTGCGTTTTGCGCCGTTTACGCGGCGGCAACTGCACCGACGTCGTGGGCATGATAAGGTTGTGGTTGATTCGATGGCACGATGCTTAATGCGCGTCAAACATGCTTGAGGTGAGTTTAGAAAGACTAGTGACTTAGGTAGGTGAGGTGGGTAGGGTAGCGCCGGTACCTCGGGCACGTACCTAGGTGCCTTACGGTCTCTCAAGGTAAGGTACTGAGTACCTTCCTCGCGGCGACGTAGGGTACCCATGCGAGGTACCTAGGTACCCTGAGGTGCTGGAGGAGATGGAAGGCGAGAGAAAGGCGGGGCCTCTGCAGGTTTGATGTGTACCCAGGTATCTAAGGTAGGCAAACAGGCAACACTCAACTTTCCTCAGGTATTCCATGGAAAGTTCTTTTACTGCTTCCACTGTCATTGTCACTCTTGGTGCTATCTCTGTTGTTGATGTGACCTACTTTCTGCGTGTTCTTGGATAAATAAATCAGAAGCCTAGTTCATCTGCCAAAGGTCTTTTCAGATCAGGTAAGATCTTTGGGTGATGAATAAAGAGGAAAGGTAAGACACTCAAGTCAAGGTAAGTAAGTACTTGAGATAATCGTCCGTCAAAGGTCTAGGTTAAGGTGCCTTGCCTGGCATGAGTCCTTCGAGTGAAAGCATAAGCTTTCGCACAGTGCTTCTTTTACTACGAGTTGTAGTGCGCCTTGCAAAGTAGCAAACGCCCCTAAGGTTACTAATGTAAATTGCGCATGTGAATGTGTTTGGCTTTCAATCACAGCCAGGTGGAAAAGATGAAAAGAGAAGGACCTCCCCGTAAGAAAGAGAGCAAGAGATAGAGCCTCGGGAGAAACGTCTAGAAAAGCCGATACGCATTCTCACGGGAGAAGGTGCCTTCCATCCTTCAATTTGAGGTGGGTAGGCAAAACCTAGCCAGGGCATTAATAGCTAACTTTCAGTAGGGAATTCGATCTTCTGATTCCTCTCCCAATTCCTCACGAGATCCCGTGATCATTGTACCAATACATCCCACTTCGTCCGAGATTCCTATCATCCTCACTTCCGAGTTTTCACCCGAACTGTTCACCTTGTGTGGCACTTTGGTCTCGTCTACGACATTGGGTTGGGATTTTGGTCAGGTAAGTCTATCTCCAGTCACGTGATCTTTCTCCGAAACCAACATAAGCAGATATAATAGTCGCACCGCCACCAACTAGATCCCAACATGTCGCGCCCCATTCCCGAGCTAGACTTCGAGGCGGAACTTTAGAAGCTCTTAACTCTCCTGACAGAATGCTTTCGCCGTGACGACCCAGAACTCAGGCCCACCTACCGAGACTGTCGGAGTTGGGAAAAATCCTATGCTTCGACCGTCAGACGAACCATGGCCTTACGCGGCAACAATGACTGGCTCGGCGACAATGGAGAAGAAGATCTCACCGAGCGATTCGAGCTTCTACAGCAGATCCGAGATGCAATCCTGAACCATGGGAGCATCCAGCGGGAGCGCTACAAGATCGAGTTCCTCCAGAGAATACAAGTCTGGGCACACATTTTCGTTCTGAGCTTGCCGCGTCTCCGAACCTTTCTGGCGGAGGTGCAGGCCTCTAACAGCGACAACCTGGTCTACACCCTCAATCGTTCATTCAATGACATGGATGCCCTTATCTTGCTGTGTGAGTATTCCTCTCACATGATGTTTTTTCTTTCAATTGTTAGATTTTTCTATTCTCAACTTTCTGATTCGTTGATGTTCATGTTACATAAATACAATCAGTCGTCTTTTTTGCTGTATAATGCACGCACAGGCTAACTTCTTCATCGTCAGTTCGGGGTCCGAAGGAAGAATGGATCAAAACGGGTAACATCTCACGAAGCAATGTTGAGAGAATTGCGGTATGTCACCTGTTTTTGATGAATCTACACCAGACTAACTCTTCCGCGCCAGACCGCCCAGAGAGATCTCGGGAGATGCGCTTTTACGGGCTACCTACTCGGCGAGAAGTGTCATATTCTTCCATTCTGGACTCTTAACCGACCGCGCTGTTGCGACGCGCTTGATGCTGCTGTTGCAGTGTACGGCCTTGCACGAATTCAAATGCTCAAGGCGAAGCTCGTCGATCCCGAGACCAACATTGTTGACACCTCTCGAAACATGATCACGTTGCACCCAATGCTGCACAAGTATTGGGACCGTGGACTTTTCGGTTTAGAGCCCGTCACTCTCTTGTATGAAGAGGACAAGAAGGAAGAACCCGCCAATGCGGGTCCATCGACACCCTCAAAGGTCGCCAGCGAGAGACCCAACGAGGAGAGCGGGGCGCCGGGTTCCTCACGGTCTACGAGATCTGGTACCAAGAGACTCGGCGATAGTTCCCAGATCACGCCTTCCAAAAAGTCAAAGAGAATCAGCGAGGGCAAGGGTAAGGGCAAGGAGAGGGAGGTGGAGCTACCGCAGGATGTCGAGCCCGCGAAGGAGGACGACGAGCCTGCGAGGAAGCCAATTGGTATTCGAGCTCGACTCCATTGGCTGCAGAAAACTAGGGGCTTGACGCCAGAAACTCTCCCAACGAATTTGACCGAGTTAAAGCGGGCTTGGAGCCCGTGGGATGATGAGTACTCTGTTCTCCGCAAGGATGCTCGGCCCGTTGACGACGGCCAGATCATCGACATCTTCGATACAGCAGACGCCAAAGCCCCCGATTTCGATATTCTACAACTGCAGTTCGATGTTTTCCGCATGCAGGCCTTGTCTGGCAGGGCTGACCCGATCATCTATGCCCCGGATTGGTACTACGATGATGATGGGGAAATTGTTTCAGACCCCATGCCAGGAAAAGAAGAGGCTATCCGGGCACATGAGGCTCGGGAGGCGCGGGAGATTCAGGAGGCTCGGGAGGCTATGCAGGCTTAGAAAGTCAGCATTCCTTCTTCTGACCCTCAAGGCTTCGATCCACCTGCCGTCGCTTCTTCATCTCGTCCTCAAGGCTTCGATTCATCTGCTATTGTTTCTTCATCTGATCCTCCTTTATCTGTCCCTCTCTCTGCCAACCTGTCTTCGTCGGGAACTCCGGGTCAAGGGTCCATGCAAGCATTCGCATCAGATGTGGCGCCTCTCCAGAGAAAATCGTCAGGTTTCGGCTCGATCCGGAAAAGGTGGCCGGGCTTCAAGCCGGACTCTAAGCCGGACTCTAAGCCGGAATTCAAGCCCGACTCCAGGCTTGACTCTAGGGCTGAATCCCGATCGGGGGCCAAAGCTGACTCCAAGGTGCAAGCTATGAAGCGCCGGTCCAGTTTGATCATCACTGGTGCTACTGGTCTATTCTCACGCAAAGAAGGGAACCGGCGGCACCAGGCTCGCGAGCAGGCCAATGATGGTCAGTCTGATGCCAGCCCTCAAGCCAGCACTCTGGAAGAGCAGACGGCAGTGGGCGAAGGCTCTGGTGGCGGCAAGGAGAACGTCGACCCAGCGGACCCCGACCGCTCGCGTCAAAGGCCGGAGCAGCGTAGACGGCGCCCTCTTTCTGATGGCCAGGAGCGTGTACCAATTGCTTCCGCCCAGAAATCGCAGGGTCATGAACGTTCCAAGAGTGGTGGTTCAGGTGAGGCATTGGAAAAGCCCAAGAAGCTCCTTTCTCCGAAGTATCTTTCCAAGCGCCGGTCCGAGGCCGAGTTCAAGAAGCGCTCTTCTGCCGATCAGATCGAGAAGCGCCGGTCCGTGGGCAATCTCGATGAGCTCATGTCTGAGTCTCCCGAGAGCACTCCAAGTGGTTTAGGACTGCAGTTCTCAGTGGCTCTGCGTCTTCGAGAGGTCTGAGAAGAGAAACTTGGGAATGATCAACGGAACTGAACGAAGTGCGATGATGAAGGGGTAGACTAATTAATGTATTGTTGTGCTGCTTGAAGGGACGAAGGGGATTTTTCGAGTTAATTGTCGTCATTATTTCATCACTTTCTCCTTTGACCTTCGTGACTCTCTGTTCATTGCCAACGGCTGATCCAAACCTCTTACGACAAGAATCTAGCTTCGTGACCTTAATGATTATAAATTGGTAGGCCATGGAACGTCAATTCAACCTTTATGTAGGTCATTTTGAGATGATGCCTTCACGTACACAATCGAGAGACCGTGTCGATGAATTTCAGATCTATTGTCTACTCAGCGGCGTCTCAAACTCCACCACCGTCTTTCTTCGCCACGAGCATCCTCCGAAATCTCTCCCGCAAGAGTCACAATGCCCTCTTCCTTACCAAATTCAGACACCACAGCCTCCTCTTCGCAAGGAATGACCCCCAACTTGACCGCCTCATTCGCCGTAAACGTGCCATACACATCCACCTTATCGTACTCCCCAAGATCCTCGACAGGAAACAAGACATTCACCCCCCAAAACAGAACAAACGAAATCATAAACCCGATAAAAAACGCAACATAATACAGCTCATACACCGCATCCGGCGCACCGCCCACACCACCTGCACTCACAATCAACCCGCCCACCGTCGGCGCCCAACCCGCAACCCAGCACGGGATCACCCTCCAGTTGACGCCGTGGCGGTACCAATAATCGGACCCCTTCGGGTTGAACAGGTGCGTCAGCCGGACACGTCGACGGCGCAGGACGAAATAGTCGCAGACCATGACGCCCATGATGGGCGCGAGGAAGACGGCAAACGAGTTGAGGACGGCGACGAAGGTGGCGGCCTGGTTGATGAGCTGCCAGGGCTGGATGACCCAGGCGGCGGCGAAGGTGAGGAGGGCGCCGCGGCGGATGTCGAGGTAGCGCGGGAAGAGGCCGGCGAGGTCGATGCCGCCGGCCACGGCGTTGGAGCAGACGTTTTCGAACATGGAGGTGAAGGCGAAGGCGAGAGCGAGGAAGAAGACTGCGGCGCGGGAGCCGGGGGAGCCTTGGCCGTCTGTAGAGACGTGGCATGTTAACGGACGACCTCAAGATATGTAGAAGACATAGAGGAGAAAGGAAAGTAGCGATGGATTAGGAGGAGACTCACGATCCATCATGACCATCAACAAATCGGGCGGATTCCAATAAATCTGCCCGTAAATCTTCTGACACGCCGCCGTAGTCACTAACCCGCCCAAACACACAAGCACGCCAGTAACCCAGTACACCGACACCGTGCCGACGATATAATCCCTCTTATTCTTCGCATACCGCGAAAAGTCACTACTATTCGTCATGCCTGCCGCTTTTCCACCGATGGCCTGGTTGATCCCCGCCATCATCAGCCACGAGGCGCTCCATCGGGACGAGGAGGGTACTTTCTCGCCCTGGTAGAAGACGGGGCCAACCCCTCGCGCGACAGCGACGGACCAGGCGAGGATGGCAACCATGGCGGCACCGCAGGCGACGGAGGAGACGAAGAAGGGCTTTTTGAAGCGCTCGGGGCGGATGAAGAGGAAGGGAAGAGAGACGACCCAGAAGACTGTGAAGCCTAGGAGTTCGTAGGTTGTTGTTGGAGTGTTTGCGCTGAGGGTGTTGGGGATCTTTGCGAAGGAGGGCCAGATTGCGGTGATGCAGACGCTGCGAGAGGTGTACTGTCAGTGTTTGAGACTTGGTTCAAGGAGGGGATGCTAATCGTACGTTACTAGTTTACCTCCATTCCAACCTGTTGAAACCCGGATCAGTCATCTTGTCGTATGTAGAAGGGGGATGGCGTCTTGGAAAGACTAGAGACACGCTCACACTGGAGAGCGGTCCAGATAAAGTTGAGGAGAATGCGCTGCAGTAGCGGTATGAAACTCGCTCGGAAGCCCCATGTGTATCTGTTCTGGACGGTGAAGCCAATATGCCAGGTCAGACCGCACCAGGCCACGAGGATCGCAAAGAAGCAGCAGAGGGCGCGGGAGACAACAATGACGGCCATGGCCTGGCCCACGGAGAGTCCCTGAGTGAGGAACGTGTTTGGAGTCTGCCATGTTGCGACGTTGAGAGACGATCTGTTGGAAGAGGCGAAGGTTCAGTATTCGGGCAAAGACTGACTTGTTTCTCTCAACGTATGAGGGGAGTCAAACTTACAAAGACCAGGAGCCGAAAAAGTTGAACCAGCCCCAGGTGCGGCGGGAGGGCGGCAGGGGGATGAGGTCGCGGTTCGACCAGGCGCTGACTTCTTCGTGGCGGAACGCGTCTGACTTGAGAGCAAGGGCCTCTTTGATCCTGCACGCCGTCTTGTTTACCATGGTTACCCTGACAGAGTAGACGCTGCAAACTTTTGCGTTTGTGTTTCCGTTCAAACCATTCGGGAGTGCTTCGTTTCGAGCCCGTGGGAGGGCGAGGGCCAACAGATATATAGGACCATCGTATCTTGAGATCCTTGCAGCGGTCGTGTTCTCTCCTATGGTCTTCAATCCTGTAGACTGTAGGACAGCGAAGCATCCATTCGTAGGTTAACGGGGGATATGTCCTGCTTGTTGCTACCTTACCTTATCTGAACCTGCATGTCGGAAGATGTTCGGGAGCAGTTTGCCGGGGTCCGGGGTCAGTTTTTGTTTGCCTCCATTTCCTTGACCTCTTTATTTTGGGAAAAGAGGCGATACGTCGGCGACTTTCCGAGCATTGGACAGCATGCACGCAACCTTGTCATTCCCCCAAAGCGGCCTTGATGTAACCCACTCCTCCCGGCCAACTTGGTCCTTGATGCCGATGATAAGGATGCGGAACAGTGGGGTGTTCCCCGCCGGTGACATGCCGGGTGATAAGATATGGCGGTCGATCACTTTGGACTCACTCGTCTGCCAGTGTACCAATCCAATGACAGTGGTGAACTAAGGGTTGTGAATGGTCAATTGAGTAGCTTGCCTTGCCTAGTAGTCGTTCATGTTGTTACCTGATAGGATTGACGCCGTTAGGTGAGGTTGTGGTGGGGAGCACTATCTCTCCGTAACCCGGGGTTATTTCTAAAATGTTGGCCTCTACCCCGATGCCGGCACCGTGTCGGAAGAGGTCCGATACTTCATCAGTTGAGTGCCATGCACCTCATCTGCCATCGTCATTGCAAACACCTGCACTGTAGGATATCATACCGTCAGCCATCTCAACAGTATTGTATCCAAATAGCCAAAAGTAAAGAAGACGAAGCACCGCCAGGTCATCAACAAAAATGGCAGTCCCTACCTTGAGATTAGGCGTCGATGTCGGCGGGTAAGTACCATCGCTCTCATCTCATATCACCTCACCTCTGCATCAACACGCTTCACATCAACGAAGCCAAACTCCTCCTTCCCAATGGCAAACTCTAAACTGACACACAAACAGAACAAACACAGATGGCGTCATCCTCGACCCAACTTCCTCCTCCTCCTCTCCCCTCGGCATCCTCGCCACCCAAAAGACCCCAACAACACCCAACCCAAGCACCGGCATCATAACCGCAATCTCCCACATGTTCTCAACCTCCAACATTCCCCCCTCCCGCATCGCAAGCGTCACAATAGGCACAACACACTTTATCAACGCCGTAATAGAACAAGACGCAACCCGCCTCGCCCCCGTCGCCGTCATCCGCCTTTGCGGTCCCTTCTCTGCCACCATCCCCGCCGGCGTCGACTGGCCCCCGGCCCTGCGCAACATCATCTGCGCCCACCGCTCTCTCGTCGACGGCGGGTTGGAGATTGACGGGGACTTGATTGCGGAGCTCGATGAAGATACCGTCCGGCGCGAGGTGGAGGTTGTACGGGCAAAGGGGATCAGGAGTATTGTCGTTGTGGGGATTTTCAGTCCCATTGACGTCGTGTATAGGCAGGAAGAGAGGGCGGCGGAGATCATTCGCGAGATCTACCCGGGAGCTGACGTGGTGATGTCAAAGGATGTGGCGAACATCGGGTTCCTTGAGCGTGAAAACGCGGCTATTCTCAATGCTTCTATCCTACCCTTCGCTAGGCGTACGATCCGGTCCTTCCAGGATGCCGTTACGCAGCTAGGCCTCACCTGTCCCGTCTTCGTGACGCAGAATGACGGGACGATTCTGCCAGCTGCCGCGGCGGCGCGGTTGCCCATCAGGACATTCTCCAGCGGACCAACGAATAGCATGCGCGGTGCGGCGTTCCTCACGAGGAACCTAGAGAGAGAGAAGGAGGAGACGGGCCCGATAATGGTCGTCGATATCGGCGGGACGACGACGGACGTGGGATTATTAATGGCCAACGGGTTCCCCAGACAGGCGGCGGCGTACAGCGAGATCGCGGGGGTACGGACAAACTTCTCGTACCCAGACGTCAAGAGCATCGGGCTCGGGGGTGGATCTATCGTCAAGAAAGAGAAACGCACCGGCGAGATGGTGATTGGGCCGCAGAGCGTGGGATACCAGATCCAAACAAAGGCTCTTCTTTTCGGCGGCGATGTTGCGACGGCTACGGATTATACTGTACTCGCGGACCCAGACACCGTCAACATTGGAGACCGGTCTCTCGTTGAAGGTGCAAGCGGCCTCGCGGATGACGTACCAGCGTTCAAGGCCAAGGTGAAGGCGATGTTGGAGCGGATCGTGGACACGATGAAGACTTCGCCCGAAGATATACCCGTCGTTCTCGTCGGCGGGGGCGCGGTCATTGCGCCTGATGAGTTGAAAGGGGCGAGTAGGGTTGGAAAGCCGGCATGGTCTGGGGTTGCGAATGCGATTGGGGCTGCGACGGCGAGGGTTAGTGGTGTTGTGGATGCGATTGAAAGTACTGAGACCAAGAGCGTGTCCGAGGCCGTGGAGGCGTTGTCGCGGAGGGCTGTTGATCGGGCTGTTGAGAATGGTGCTTTGCGGGAGAGTGTGACTATTGCTGAGGTGGAGAGTTTCCCTTTGCAGGTATGCTTTCTGTGACGAGTCGAATGCTTCGTGAGAGCTGAGTTGGAACTTACGATATATGTTTGGCAGTACATTGCAAACAAGTCACGAATCATCATCAAAGCCGTTGGAAACTTCGATTTCTCCAGATCAGCATCCCTGGACACAACCACGATCCCAGACGACATCGAGCACTGCGACGAAGAACTACCCAGACCACCCGCACCACCTCAAAACGAGGAAGTCTCATCACCGCAATCCTTAGTTTATATAAAAAACTACATTGACGGCTACAAGCCAAAGGTTCTCAACCGGCAATGGCATCTCTCCGAAACAGACCTCGATTGGATCACCACAGGCTGCTACATCCTCGGCACAGGGGGCGGCGGCTCTCCCTACCAGCACATGCTCCGCCTCCGCGAAATGATGCGCGCAGGCGCCACGGTCAAGATAATCTCCCCTTGCGACCTCAAGGACGATGATATTGTAGCCTGCGGCGGCGGGAAGGGATCGCCGCAAGTATCCATCGAAAAGCCGTACGGTGATGAGTAAGGCTCCCTTCTCCACACGATGGTCCTCTGGAGAAGCAATACTTAGATTCTAATGCTTATGTTTTGTAGAATCATGGAGTCGCAGAGAGAACTCTACGCATATCTCAAGACGAAGCCCACTGCCGTGATATCCCTCGAGATAGGAGGCGGCAACGGCCTGCAGGGCCTCATCCTCGGCGCCAGCACGAATCTCGATATCCCAACAATCGACGGCGACTGGATGGGTCGCGCGTATCCCATATCTCACCAAACCACGCCGGTAGTCTTTGAGAAGAAGGCGACGATGATTCCGTCGTGTATATCAGACGGGAACGGCCGAATCATGGTACAGCCTCTTTCTTCTCGTCCTCCATCCTGCCGAATATCCTTCGCTACTTACCACAAGTCAACGTGTGATGGAGATGACAGTCTTTACTGACTTTTGTGTGAACACCAACAGCTCATGACAAAAGCCCGCACAGAACTCGACGCAGAACGCGCCTTCCGCGCCGCCCTCTCACAGATGGGCTCCCACGTAGGATGCGCAAAGGGACCCGTCAGCGGCCGCGATGCCAAATCCTGGGTTGTTGAGAATACCGTCTCGCTCTCCTGGAGGATTGGCCGGGCCGTTGCAATGGCGCGGTGTACCAACGCTGTTGACACAGTCGCCGAGGCCGTCGTTGATGTCGTTGGCGGGAGGCAGTCGGCGCGGGTGTTGTTCAGGGGCAAGATTGTAGGCATCGAGAGAGTTACTAGGATGGGGCATGCGTTTGGTGAGGTTATTATTGAGGGGTATACTGACGGCGGTAATGATGGCGGCGGGGCGGTTGAGAAGTTTGTTATACCGTTCAAGAATGAGAATATTCTTGCGAAAAAGGTTGGTGGTGATGGGAAGGAAGATGTAAGTCTCGACAACACCCTGCCCCCGTTACGAGAAGGGAAGTAACAAGTATGAAGCTGACGTTCATGATACTCAAACAGATCCTCGCAATCGTCCCAGACCTAGTCTGTGTCCTCGACGCGCAAAACGGCGAGGCCCTCGGCACGCAAGAATACCGCTACGGCCTCTTCGTGGTAGTGCTCGGCATCACGGCGTCGGACAAGTGGACGTCGACGGCGCGGGGCATCGAGATTGGCGGGCCCAAGGGGTTCGAAATGGACGGGTTGGAATATGTGCCTCTTGGGACGTTTACGAAGCCGCGGAGCGTCATTGACGAGTTTGGGGGCTAGTCATGATGGGTCAAGGGCCAAGAGGGTCTTGATGTCCCGAGTGATCGAGTATCGTGCTTGTTCGATGCGGCTTGTGAAGATGGGTTCATTATGGGTCGAGCTGTGTCCTCTCCATCTCCGGTTTCGGGTGGATATGAGGTTGATTCTTGGATAAACGTAAGTGGAGAGATTGTGGCATGTACACTGCCGGAAGCCATGTTTATAATAGTGCTCCTCGGCATTTAAATATAAACGCTTAGCAGTAGAATGAATAGACTTCTAGACAAAGCCTCAATGATCACCAACGCTTACATGGCTTACCGTCCTTAGCAGCGAATTGGGCTCATAAACCGCACATCCAAGCTGTAAATCCCCAGGACCTGCGCAAAGCCGCACGTGTGTCATCGTGATGGTCGAAAGAATCGACAGGGTTACGATCGTCAAACCGTTGCATTTCGCGCCGGGGTGTGATAACGCAACTCGGACTAGGGGCCAGAGGAAGATGGTGTGTTGGGGTCGTCTCCAAGTCGTCGGAACTTTCAGCGCCGCACCGTCAAAGTTACCGAACCTCTGCCAGGTTGGCAGAGGAGAGGAAGAGGGGTTAACTGAGAAGTGAGAACCAGTGAACCACGCCGCCGTTGTCGGTTCCTGTGGGAGCACTGCGGGAGCAGCCGGAAACCGAGGGTGTCGAGTCCGGAGCCCTGATTCCTGGGAGGCATTCGAGAGAAGAGACAATCACGCAATCGAGAGAGAAAATGTCGGTTAAAGAGGAGAGCAAGGATATGACAGCGGAGCAGGAAAAGTTTGTTTGGGAGAACGGTAACACTGAAGAGACACAATGCGTACCGGTTCCAAGCGGTCGGCAGTCAAAGGCCCGGAGGTTTTGGGGCGCGGGGTCCCACGTTGTCGTCCATGTTGATGGAAGTTGAACCCCCGATCGGCGGGCCCCACAGCAGGAGTGTCTCGCGTCATCGGACGGCCATTGCGATATGGGGGGGCCCAAGCACGCAATCTGTAGATGAGAGCTCGACACCATCAATTCCCGGCCAGACGGTTGTAGCATTGTTACATTGTGCCTGTTCAATTGTGAGTACCTTACACAGTAAATATCAGTGATGTATAATGAGGGGTAGATCAGATAAAACCTCTCTCTCCCCGTTGCAGAACCTTTATCCCCTTCTCCAATTTCAGTCTTTGTGATATAAATCCGTCTCATCTGCCACTTCCCCTCATTTTGAGACCTCATTCTGATACCTCACCTCAACACCTTTTCATTTCTCTCAATTGATACCCCTTGAATCTTCATCACAATGGCCCCAGGTGCTCTCATTGACGAGCCCGTCCAGCCTTCTCAGGGTCCCTGGAAGGGCAAGAACGACGATGCCCCCAGAAACATCTTCCCCGACGGCATCCGCACATCGGGACAGCACAACCCCCTCTACGACGCTCTCAAGCCCTACGCCGAGTTCCCCAAGGAGATATCAGGCCCGACGGTCTGGCACAAGGAGGAGTTTGAGCAGCAGCCCGAGAAGTGGACGCACCGCTTCACCCCTGAGGAGGTTGAGGAGCTCGGCCGCACCTCTGATGCCTTTATCGCCAGCAACACCCCTCTGACGGGTATCTCCAAGGTACGCCTGACTTTGTTCCTCGAAGGAGAGATGAAGACTACCACTCGAACGACTTCAACCCGTACTCAGATGACAGTGCACTAACACAACCACCAACAGTCCAACTTCCCCCTCCCAACACTAGGCAAACGCCTCACCGACCTCCGCAAAGACCTCATCGACGGCAAAGGCTTCGTCCTCTTCAAGGGCTTCCCCGCCAACGAATGGGGCCCTCATAAGACCGCCGTCGGCTACATGGGCCTCGGTACCTACCTCGGCTACTTCGTCTCCCAAAATGGCCGTGGCCACGTCCTGGGCCACGTCAAGGACGTCGGCGACGATCCGACCCAGATCGACAAGGTCCGCATCTACCGCACCACCGCCCGCCAATTCTTCCACGCCGACGACGGCGACCTCGTCGGCCTCCTCTGCGTCCAGCGCTCCGCCGAGGGCGGCGAGAGCGACCTCGTCAGCATCCACGCCGTCTGGAACGAGCTGCAGCGCTCCCACCCGGACGTCGCGGAGACCCTGACCAAGCCCATCTGGTACTTTGACCGCAAGGGCGAAGTCTCCGAGGGCCAGGAGGAGTGGACTAAGCAGCCCGTGTTCTACATCGAGAACGGAGGGCAGCGCCGCGTATACTGCAAATGGGATCCCTACTACGTGCGCTCGCTGACGCGCTTCTCCGACAAGGGCGTGATCCCGCCGCTGAGCGAGGAGCAGCTGCACGCGCTCAAGACGCTCGAGGATACGTGCCAGAAGTTGGCGCTGCACATGATTCTCGAGGTGGGCGATATCCAATTTTTGAGCAACGCGCACCTGCTCCACGCAAGGACGGCGTATACGGACCACCCCCACCCGGCGCCGCGCCGGCACTTGTTGCGGTTGTGGCTTTCGACGCCCGAGAGCGAGGGCGGGTGGGTGCTGCCGTTCCCTGATAGCAAGGAGTTGAAGAGGGGCGGGATCCAGGTGAACAATGTGCCTCCGCGCGCGCCGTTGGATGCGGAGTAGAGTTTGTTCTGGTGAGGTTCGTTAGCATTTTTTGTGAAAATTGTATTTAGAGCGCTGGTGAGGATGAGAGGAAACATTCGGTGCACCATCTGAGATGCGATGAGATGGATGGCTTTTGATTGCATTGCTTCATGAGATTGGCGGAAAGCCCGCATAGAGATTCTCAGGAGACATGGCTCTGCAAACATGAATGAAAAGAAAAGTAAAATGTGGAACTCAAAATGAGATCGCCATCATGAAGTGAGCCCTCTCACCCTGCAGTGATTGAAGTCATGACCGCGCATGCACACTCACTCCACTAGTGAGATTTAATATTTCGGATGCGAGAGACTGAGATGAGCAGTTTCCCGGAAACACCATAGCCATCTAGCGGACAAATGGTGTGATTGCTGTGCCTGAGAGAGATTGTGCGTGGAGAGATGAAGGATGAGCGACTGCGGTGCGTCCGGCGAAGTTTGGCGAAGTTTTCCGCGGGATCGAAGTTACCCAAGTTTCCCGGCAGTTTTCCGTCCACTGATGGCGGGGTTCTTTTCATGTCATGTCACTCACTGCGACCTCGAAGTGACCCCGCCGCGGGGCTATCGTCTTCGTCGCAGGGGAAAGTGGTCCCCTAAACGCCACGGATGGAGGGGCAGCTTCCGTCTCAGTCCTTTCTCACTGCTCATGCATAGCTTACCGCGATATGAGAAACTCATCGTGAGAGTGAGCCCGCCTTCAATTGAGCAACTCACTGAGGTCACCATTCACTCATTCACAACAAACAGGAATACTTCGATAATCGTTTGTCTCAATCGCATCAAGCACACTCAAATCAAGCGCAATCAACATCTCTTATCGCCAAATTGCCCCGCGATCTCGTTGCAGATAGCAGGTGGACCACTGCACCGTCCCCCTTATCCACCCGCCCGCGGTGAGCCCGCCCGAGTCAAGCCCGCCTCTTGGCTTCATCCCATCCGACGTCGCTCCTCGTCACATTACACATACAACGACTCTATTATTAAAGACGAGCCCTGTCCTCGCGTTCCTTCACAATGTCTCTCTTGTATCGTATTCCTCTCTCAGTATTGCTTCTCTTCGCCACTTGATACCCCTCCCTTTCCAAGTAGACTTATTTACATCACCCAACACCACACCCAAGAACTCAAGATGGCGGCAGTCCTCCCCGAGCCCTTTGCGAGCATCCCTCGCGAAAACTTCCTCTTTGGCCCCTCGCCCATTGAGCCTCTCCCCCGCATCTCCGCCGCCCTCGGCGGAAAGGTCAATGTCTACGCCAAGCGCGAGGACTGCAACTCTGGTCTGGCCTACGGCGGTAACAAGACCCGCAAGCTTGAGTAAGCCCTCCTCTCCGCCTCCAATTCATCATGGCACCCTCATGAAGGCAAAATGTATCATACCAGAGGACCAAACTAACACACCCCAGATATCTCGCCTCAGACGCCCTTGCCCAAGGCTGCGACACCCTCGTCTCCATCGGCGGCGTGCAATCAAACCATACCCGCCAAGTCACCGCCGTCGCCGCCAAACTCGGCCTCAAGGCCGCCCTCGTCCAGGAGAAGTGGGTAGACTGGACCGACCCCGTTTACGACAAGGTCGGCAACCTCCAGCTCTCGCGCCTCATGGGCGCCGACGTCCGTCTCGACCCCTCCACCTTTGGCATCGAGCACAAGAACACCCTCGCCAACCTGAAAGAAGAACTCCTCGCCGCCGGACGCAAGCCGTACTACATCCCCGCCGGAGCGTCGGACCACCCCCTCGGCGGCCTGGGCTTCGCGCGATGGGCTTTCGAGGTGCAGGCGCAGGAGAAGGAGTTGGGCGTGTTCTTTGATACGGTTATCGTGTGTGCGGTTACGGGGTCGACCATGGCGGGTATGGTTGCGGGATTCAAGCTCGCGGAGAAGTTGGGAGGAAAGAAGCGCAAGGTTATTGGCATTGACGCCTCTGCGACGGTGAAGCAGACGTTCGATCAGGTGCTGCGCATCGCCAAGAACACGGGCGCCAAGATTGGTCTCGAGGAGGGCGATATCACCGAGGCGGATATCATTCTGGATGACCGGTTCCACGGCGGTGTCTACGGTATTCCCGACCAGGTCACCATTGACGCCATCAAGTTTGGCGCCAGCACGGAGGGTTTCATTACGGACCCCGTGTATGAGGGTAAGAGTTTGGCGGGTATGATGCAGCTCATCAAGAACGAGGAGATTGCTGCAGGTAGCAATGTCTTGTATGCGCACTTGGGTGGCCAGCTGGCGCTCAACGCGTACTCTGGCATGTAAACGATTCTTGATGTCTAATGATGAAGTTTTTAGAGTTTTGCAGAAAATAACAATACCCTTTCATGTTCAACCTTGGCAGCCATCGTGACTGACTTTGTTTTGGTACTTGATCGGAGATGGGAGCAGAGTTCGTCGACATTTTGGTTCACATAACTCCACAGCCAAGCCTTGATGGTCTAACATTGACCTATCTCCGAATAGAGGGCCAGACTGGGATATAATTTCAGGTACTGCAGCTGTTTCTGACAGCTGTTCCTCGCTTGGATCGTCGGGCTGAAAAGACTCGGGAGAGCGAATCTGTCGTGGATGACAAACCTTCAATTACTGAGCTTGCACATATTCAACTTGGAACCCTCATTCTTCAGAAGAACAACAGCCATTCATCATCGGCTCCAGCTCTTCGAATACTCATTGCAGAATAAACAACACTTGCTCAACAGCAACGATCACCTTCCACCCTATAATCGCCCATCCTCATCCGCCGCCAATGTCCGTCATCTGGAATATCGCCTTCCTCTGCAGCCTCATCATCACCATCGAGGTACTGCTTAACTCGCTCATAACAATCAAGACGCTTTCTACACAAAAGCGGGTTCACTATGTCGACGAGCAGTAGCTCCCTCTCTATCGGTGCCTCTGCTGATGCTCCTTCGAACATCACAAATACGGACACTCCTCCAGATCGAGAGCCTTCGCCCCTGTTTCTCAAGCTACTCGGGATCTATATCATGGCATCCAATTTGTGGGTCGCAACCAAAGCTTTCGTCTCGAACAGGGGCATATGGAGGTCGGAACCTAAGGTAGAGAGACACCCTAATTACGAGAAGCTCATGGATCTCGCACAGCGACACGAGTATCTACAGTGTCATAGAAGGCGGAAGATTGTCAAGGAGAACCACCACGGCGATTACTTCCAGCAACGGGTATCCACCCCCGAGGACGACAGGAAGATGTGGAAGACTCTCTTGCTGCCTACCATCGAAAGCAAAGAGGAGAAGGAAGAAAGAGAGAGGGAGGAGGAGTCCAAGTACCTTGTTGACCTGATCGTTCAGATGCCTATCCTGAGCACACCTTGCGGTGAAGCTGAGAAGATCAAGGACTATGAGCAGCCCAAGGACAAGGAGCAAGCCAAGGTTGATGAACAAGTGGAGGCTGATGAACAGCCCGAGGAAAACGAGCATGCCGAGGAATATGATGGAGGCAAGGAAGACGAGCAAGCCAAGCACAATGAACAAGTTGACCCAGACGCCTGGACGGTAGACGGTGTACTCGCATCAATCGATTACGAGGCACTGGGTTTGCACTGAGAAATTTTGTCGGGTTTGGGAGGCTTACATACGACATGATGCTCAGAGACGGAGAAGAAGGTGGCCTACTTAACAATCTGTCTTATGGTATAGTCCACCTTGGTATCCTACTCACACCCCCTCATTCCAAAGTACTACCTATCAGAGGGGCATTTGAAGAAGGCATGTGTATCCCTCAATGTGTTCTGAAAATGCCTCCCAAAGACTAGTGAGAGTGAAGTATCATGGCTCCAGATAGTAATAACGTCAATCTTGAGCCTCGAAAAGATTTGATCCAAGCCAACTGAAAGCAAGAATCGAATGCACTATACGTTCGCGCCAAGTCTCACATTTATCCCAAGTCTGCATCGCATCTGCCTTTGACTTACATAGGGTGAAAGGAAGGCAACTTCCGTTGACCAAGCAACTGCCAACAAATGGGAAGGTAGGAGATTTCTCGAATTCACCTGTATCAAAAAATATTCACAACCGACGACTCACCGGCCTCATCTTTTGGGTCAACCTTCTTTCACATCCTCCATCCGTCTCCCGACTTCCCAACTTGCCCGTTGCAATTTCTCCCGCCGCACTTCACAATCCACATTTCCACCCAAAAAGACTTTGCGCGAGCTTTATAACCTTGATCTCCAAACACGGCGGATAGCGAGTTCATCATTTTACCTGCACGCTTTTAGATGTTGCCATATTGAGCATATCCTACATCTCTTATGAGGCTAATGCACATACCATTCTTCGAACCCATGGCTCGATTTGAGAGTTTGACTGGCGGTGAGGGACATCCAATGACTCGTTCCGACACAAAGACGGGCCGATGCATCAGGCATACGCCCGCCGAGATAGACAGGTCTTCCACTAATATTCCAAACGTAGACACCGAGCACGGGAAAAGCTTGGATACTATTGCTTGCCATAGAAACGAATTTAAGCCATGGTCTCGTTTCTATAAGTTTGTTCCATGCATCTTGCCGTTCATACAGAAGTACGCTCAAAATACGGAATCGAGGGGTATGGTCACGTCCGTATATCCTGCAAGAATCCTCTAGTACTGCAAAACGAAAGTCTCCAATTATGGTAGCTACAAAGTCAGCCCTGTACGTACTGAGTACGATAGCTTTCACGTTCAAACCCCATAAGGTTATGTCAGCTTGGCGATGTCGGGGTAGAGATCCCATCTCCGCTGGGATCCAATAGGGATCTGCCTCCTCGCCTGACCGATAGATTCGTCGCTTAGATCCGCATATACAATCGCCGGTCCTCTCTCTGCAGTCGCGATGATCTGCCCATCGGGATCGACTACCATGCTGTGGCCCCACGCTGGATACCCAGACCCCGGCTCGTACGACTGCGAGCACATAGCCACATACAGCTGGTTGTCAAGGGCCCTGGCACGTGCAAGACATTCCCAGTGTAGAGGACCCGTGGTACTGTTGAACGCCGAGGGGAAAATCAAGGCAAAGGCACCATTGCGGGATGCGATTGTGGCGAACTCGGCGAACCTGATGTCGTAGCAGATTCCGAGCCCAATCGTGCCGTATTTAGGGAGGTCTAATAAAGTAATGGAGTTGCCTGGAGAAAGAGTGTCTGACTCGCGAAATGTCATCTGGCCTGGAATATCGACGTCAAACAAGTGGGCTTTGCGATGCTTTCCGATGAGCCATCCGTGAGGCGAGAAGACGAGGCTGGTGTTGAAGATCCTGCGCGTATCCGGGTCCAACTCTGGTATACTGCCGCCGACAAGATAGACGCCAGAAGCTTTTGCCATACTACTCAAAGCATGAAAGCTTGGGGATGAGGATTCCGGTGGCGGGGCTGGTTGCAAAACTTCGGCGTATTCTGGGAAGGATGTCGTGGAGTAGGGCGAGTTGAAGCATTCCGGGAGTACGACAATTTGAGCTCCGTGGCTTGATGCCTCCGATA